CTCTGTGTATGTGATGTGTATTTGCTAAATCATGCGATTTTGGTTGTGAAGTTGATTTACCGAGGTCCTTCGTGACACTCGGCGGACTACTGAGTTTATATAAGTGAAAGTATGCGTGTAACGTGTTAACGGGGACAGCCGTACTTGATCTTGTATAAATTGGGTTGTTCTGTCACATTGACAATCATTAATGAATTTTGGGGGTCGTTTTATGAGTTATATAGATTTCGACATATGTCGAATAGGAAAACAAATTAGAAACAAAAATCTCTAGTAATACTCAACAAACAACACCTTCGTTTGTTTAGTAAATATCACATATGAGGAATGTCTAAAGGAGAGATTAGAAACCCCTATGCCATTTTAAGGGAAATTGTAAAAAGTATGACGGATACCAATAGACAATGAAAAACTGTTTGGAATTATTGACATTTTAAAAATGATGTATAAAATAAAACCACAGAAATTCACTCATTAACCAGAAGAAAAAGGAGGAAGATATATACAACACATACTTTGCTGGGGTAACAATATTAGACAATGGGCATTGTAGTTGTGTAGAAAGTAAAGTTTAATTTAAAACCATAGGCAGCAGAACCAGGTGAGTAAAACTAGTTTTTTCAAATATCGCTGCGAAGGTGTAGGTCTTATTTAACATTTTAAATATATATATATGTATATATATTTTTTAAAATGTTTGCACATCATCATTTATCTGGTACATCAAATGTATTTTGCCAATGAAAAAATGATAAGGAAGCTTGCAAGTCAAATGAAATTGAGTTACCTGCGCCAAAACAGCTTGCTGTAGTATCAACAAAAGCAAACCCAGTGCCGAAGGCTCCTACATGAGTGGGGTCTGGGGAAGGGAAAAACCGAGGCAAGCCTTCCCCCCGCAAAATCTACAGAGAGGCTGCTTCGAACCCGTGACCTGATGACTCAGTGAGACAGCTCTCACCACTGCACCAGGCCGGCCCTTCTGATGTAGTATCAGCAAATCGGGAAATCCTAATAACAATAATAGCAGCAGCAGCAACAACAACGTCAATGGGAAGATATAACAAATTAAGAAACAATTAAATATACAAACAGTAGCTTCAATGTTTATTTTTTGAGAGGTACATGAATGGTAATATTAAATATATACTCATCCAAACCAAAAGAACAATTCTTATAGATGCAGAATCATATGCACCAACAGGCTAAGCAAATAAATTGAGAGAAAATATAGCTATAGATTAGGGGAATCATTTATTTCATTTACAACATATAAATCAGTAAATTATGGTATGGAAACAAATCTCCTACTTTTGTTTGAATATGTTCCCAAATGTTGATGCATGCTCTGTCGTATCATATAACGGGCACCAAGGTATGACCCATGTTTAGTAGAGACACAATGGAAAGAGAGTGTATAGTAACTTAGTATTTTGTCAGATTAGTGTTTCCTCTTGATTGGATTAGATTAATCAAATAAAATAATATGAAGGTGATCCAATCCCAAATAATCCAACAACCGTATCATAATTATCCTATAATCTCTCTCCAACCTGTCCTTTAAGATATAGGTCATTTTTAGTCCAACTAACAATAATCCATCTCTATAATTTATGGATTCAAATAGTATAGATTATTATAATCCAAACTTTAGATTATTTTAATCTCATCTATAATTTTGATTATACTATAACCCAATTAGGACCCAAACAGGCCCTTATAATATAAGGATAGTACTCCAAGAAAATAAAACATTAGTGAACCTATTTTTTGGCCAATATAGCTAAAGTGTTTCAAAATTGTGGACTATTTCCACCTTGATAGTCTAGATAGATTCAGACTAGCTTAATTATCAACCCAAGTGATCTAAATAAAGGACTGGTTTAACAATTTTACACAAAGCTAGTATAAAATTTAGGATCGGTACTATGCATAGGTAGGATAGATTGGTTGAAAGAGTTGCATTTATACAACTAGATGAGCAACACGACTTTATTCAATGGATCCCAATTAAACCAAAGAATATTTAGGGTGAAGTCAATGTATATCATTTAGTAATGTAATGCATCTAAATAAATCTTTATGGAAGATGAGTTACTCCTTAATATTGAGTTGCATGCACCGACCAGTTCAACCCAAAAGTTTAAAGTGATGGAGAAAGGTGGGCAATTCACTTATACTCCAACACTCCCGCTCACATGAAGGCTCTCTCAGGCCTCAGATGTGGAATAGTAGCGAGCAGCAATTATTCTTCAGGATTCGAACTCGAGACCTCTGGCTTTGATACCATGTTGAGTTGCATGCACCGACAAGTTTAACATAAAAGCTTAAGCTGGTGGGAAAATGTGGGCAATTCACTTATACTCCAATACTTAAAACTAATATATTTGTTTGTTCTTGCTAAAGGGGGTCATTTTAAAACAAAAACAACCTACTAAAGCAAAATTGGAAAGAAAATGAAGTCCTCCAATGTTTGTCTTTTGATTATCATGTTGTAAGATTTGTTCAGCGAGTTGTTCAAGCTGCATTTGGTTTACAACTGCTTGAAATTATAGATGATTTTTTGGGGGGTTTGCTTCAACAAGTAAACTAAAGAATATAATCTCAAATTTGTGTGAGGGCAAAAGCAATTCGTCTATTTGGCTGTGCAGATATGATATAGTCTTCAACAAAAAGAGATTACATTCTTAATTTAGATTATTTTCATGCCACTTGTTTGACACGCTTATGGACCATTCGTCTAAAGAAGAACGAAAAACTAAGTTTGAAACAGCCATGTTGTATTTTGGAGACTGCAGCAATGCTAAGCATGGGTGGTTGTCATCTAATAACAGGGTTAAAGTTTAGTTGGCCGCAACATTTTTCTGTCCTTTTGAGAGCATGCTTTAAATAGCCAAATACTTGAATCATAATAATAGATGATTGTCTATATAACTTATGCAGAGACTGGAATAAAATTATTTTATTTTCTACAAATGCCCTAAGTGCTAGGATGTAAGCGTGCTATGGCCAAAGGATGTTTTTATTTTGCAAATCACGATACAAAAGTAGACACTAACATACATGCACACACACTTATCCCTACCCTAAAAATGCACACACATGTACCCTACCACTATGAGCACCTCCCTCAATGGTTGCTAGAAAAAAATAATAGAAATTCTAAACACAAAGATCATGTTCTTGATATCTGATAAGATTAAATAACTTAATCTTGAGCCAAATTAAGTACATACATGCTTATCCTATTCTGATCCCCAACATTTATTTTAAGTAAGATCAGATGTATACATTCCTTTTAGAGGATGATGCATATATCTGAATATGTGTCATCTACCCACAATCAACTCCAGTATGGGGACAAGAGATTAGTCAACCATAAAGACCATTTACCAAGGGCCAACTTTGGTAATAACCCAAATGTGATGTAGATAGCCCACAAAGGCCCATGTACTCGGCCAACTTTGATAAGTGCCCCAAAAATCATGTAAAATGAGATGAAGATGATTTTTAGAGCTATGTGATTGTGGACAATAAGTTACCGACCATAACATGTTGCATGTGAAATTAAAGAACTAATAAAAAGTACAAAAATACATTTGTAATTAGAATTACTGAAAAACAAAGTTAGACAAGGTACGAAATTATATATGTAAGGTGTGAGCTAATGGCCGGAAAAAATTAAACATAAAATTTAAGATACCTAGACTTCATTAGTAAAGAAAAGAGTAGGAAAAGAAAAAAATAAATCATATTATTGAAAACTAACAAACATATATAAAAACTCATGAAATTACATGACACTGAACACCTACAAAAATTCATAAATTGAAAATTAGTAAGCTGAGGGACCTCCGTATTCTAAAGTAAAAGAGATGAAAGCAAAAGGAATAATATTTCTGCTAAAGAAAATTATCTATTCTTATATTAAGTAGTGCTATATCAGAAAAAATAATAACATTTCAACAAAATAAAGATGATCAATTCTTATATTTGGTAGTGCTATCTGGCCCGTATGAGTGAGGATCCTGTTGGGAACCCCCTTTGTTGTCTCTCTATTACACTCTCATGCGTTTTCAAAAAAAAAAAAATACACAATGGGAGATTTGTGTTCTTGCTCATGCTGTGAAGGGCAGTTTTATTTTACCGCTGTTGTTTCTACTTTGTGATTTGCCCTCATTTTCTTAATTTGAAGCTACCATTCGCCCCTATATAGCTGAAGGCCAAATAAATTTTAAAAAAAATAATTCAAAAAATAAAACACGATACTAACCCGTGACCATATCCTAATACTTCTAGCTTCCGCTGATGGTTGATTAAGCACGTGCAACTTATTAGACTTTGCTTAGTTTTGAAATATTTGCAATTTTTTCTGCAAAGATTCTTTCAGGATGATGTCAAAATAGAGGATAAAATCATAGAGTACTAAAAAACCTGGGGACACAAGAACCCCTAATATAATAGTGTATATTAACTAGATGTTTCACATTTGCATACGACTTCTATATTTAGTTATAGGCATTAAAATTGATAGTAACTTAGTTCATTTGATATTTCAGCCTAATGAACTAGAATTATATGACTGAACATTAATAAACTTAATAAGTTTGCTCCAGCGATTACTTGAGCTAATCGGCTACTTTGACAAAATATTATTATGACAATAATTGAAAACATATAATTCGATAACGAATGGTTTACTTTACCTACAACTAAAAGAATTCTTTCCTACAGAGATTTCTTTGCTAGAAAAAAAAAATTGGGTGTCTGCCAGAAAACTTCCCAGCATGCACACATCAGCAAATAGGTGGGACGGGCACCATATGGTTAAATCCAGTGGATTAAACTTGAACAAGCAAAGTTTATATTGAATATCAATGCAAACCCTTTTGATTTTATGTACTCTCGGTCGAAATGTCTTGAATTTGAAAGCATAGCAACCGCAGTTAATGTTTTTTCCACTCGTTTGAAAACTCATTTAGGATGAGGGAAGTACAAGCACACTACACAATCACAAATGGCAGGCAACAACAGCATAATAATGTAATAATGTAATAATGTAATAATGTAATAATGCAGCAATGAAATTTCAAGGAGAAGAAAGGCCCATACTCTTCGTCAAATGGACGGACAATTCGTAGGTTGAAGTTCGTAAGTCTTGAATGCCTGCTAATGGCACCCTTGAACAAAAACTCTGCAGCCATTCTATCTGTTTCCTCTGCACCAGGTGCTGACCCAATTCGGCCAGTGATCTCTTGGAGGTTTAACAGGTGTTCAATGCCAGCAAGCATATTACCATTCTGCTCTCCACTATGGGCATTGAATTCAAGCTTCAGCCTCCGAAGACTAGGCATTGCATCTGGCTGAAAAGCAATGTGCATAATGCCACATCTAAATTTGAAGCACTTTAGAACTGGAAATGCTGCACGATGGAAGACAATAAGTTCTGCGGTTGGTTGCCTGACATACAGAGAGACAATGGTGAGTTCCTGTAATTTGGCGATGATGTCAACATCACCTGACGTCAATTCCCTAAGAACAATTTTTAAAATGAGTAGATTCCGAAGCTGTCCAATCCAAACAGGGAGTCTTGAAAAGATGCAAATGGGTGGCAACAACTCAAGTCTCTGAAGGAAGACGGACAGAGAAGATATACTCCAAGAGCAATCCAAGGAAATGCTTGTGCATGAAGGAACAGGCGCAAGAATTATAGATTTTAGATTGCTAAGTTTCTCAAGGGAAGAAATGAAAGCTATCAACTTCCTCTCTACAGGGTCAGACATTTCTGTAGTACTGGTGACATGAAGATCACGCAGGTCCGTCATCTCACCAAGTTCCCATATACTATCTTCAGAGTTACTGCTGAGGTCAAAAGACTGAAGTGTGCGTAGAGATCTCATGTGGCCAATACTATTGGACAGATTTATCTCACCATGTACACAGAGGTGCAACAATCTCGGAAGATGAACGATATCTGATGGAACAGAAGTTACTCTTGCAAAAATTTCCATTGTTTGCAAATATGGCAGTCCAATCATCCGGGCTGGTAGTTTCACAATGATGTTAGATGTAATCCGCATGTACCTGAGCTGAAACAATCTGTCGATGCCACTGAGGTCTAACTCCTCTTGGTCACCCCAAACTTCGAGAATAAGAACTCGATCGAAGTACCTCAAACTCCATAATCGAAGGGAGGCACTCAACAAGTCCATAAAAGATAAGTGACCGCACAGGGGATAGTGTAATGCTTTCTGGTTTTGTAGCATATTTGGCACTACTGAATCTGAGAGAAAGTCGTCGAACCTTTACAGAAAGCTCTGAGATGGTATTGGAGTAGTCTATCACAGTGCAGAAATTCTCTTCATTGGACATGGTCCTAATAACTTCGAATACAGTGGAGTGCAGTGTATATAAAATCACCTCACCTGAGATATTGGTATGATTGGGCTGTATCAGTCCCCTGTAGATAAGCTCATCAAAATAGCACTCTGCAACTTCATCACAGTTTTTCTCTTCTACTGCAATTATAAAACCTTTGGCACTCCATTGTTTCACCATGTCAGCCTTCAAGAATGTATAACCCTCAGGATACATACTAAGATATAGTAGGCATGTCTTCAAATGGTGGGGAAGACTATTGTAGCTCAGACCTACTATTTCTCTCAGCATGACTTCAAAACTAAGATTATATCTCAATCTGGAAAATAATGCTTCTTTGACATGGCGCCACAGCTCTAAGTTATCTGGTTGGCTTGCGAAAATGCTAGCTATGCTAATGATCGCGAGTGGCAGACCACCGCATGTTCTTATAATTTCTTCAGAGTTTTCCTTCAATCGTTTAGAGCACTCGTGTTTAAATCCAAACACTCTATTGAAGAACAATTCTGTGGAGTAATTTCCATCAAGTGGCTCCATCTTAAAAATAGCATCAGATTCATAATCACAGCACTCCAAAGCTACTTCTTCAATATCTGTAGTTATTAATATTCTGCTACAATGAGCGTCATCAGGAAATGCGCTACTAACAATATCCCATGATGTTGTTTCCCACAAACCATCAATTACAATGAGATACCTGCTAGGTTAAATACAACAATTACAAAAAACAGGACAATGGAAAATGTAAAGTTGAAAATATGGAACAGAAGGATTATATTTTGTACTAGCTTTTCTAGTTTCCCTGCAGATAGTTTTAATTTTTTTCTTATTTGGCTTGACAAACTTGCATGCCTGCTTTGAGTTTGTAAGCTCGAAAATATTGGTACTTGCTTTTATCACGATTTCAAAGTTACAACTTCAAACTCCGCTGTATTAGAAGAAACAGAAATGATAAGGTTCTTGTCAGCAATCTAATTTTATTGTTTTCCCTTTTCCTTAAAATTTCTGATTTGTCAGATATTCTCATTGTTGCTACTCATAATAAGCAGAAACCAGAATTCGAAACTTAACACATATGTAAATCGACTAGTATATCAAGATCTTCGTTTCAAGAATCTTCTGTAGATTTCAATGAGCCACTAGCATTTTCTCATACTACACATGCTTCTGAAAAAAAGAGGGAGCACTGTCTTAACATACAGGTACTTGTTATACCTCTTCTGTTGGAGATGTTTTCTTAGGCTGTCAATGAGCTCTTCCACTGGGAGACCATGAGGGGGTCCTTGATGGCGGTGCTGGATTTGGGAGATGATGCCACCGAGAAGCCTCCTTGTATCAGGCATCTTTGAGGCTCGAACAAAAGCTCCGCACTCAAACTGTCCTTCCATTTCACAGTACACTTCTTTGGCAAGCGTAGTCTTACCAACACCTGGGGATCCTTGTATGCATACTACTAGCCTCTGTTTGGCGCCATTGTTAAGCCGCTTGATAAGTTCAGCCTTGGAATCACTTATACCAACAAGGGTGGTGGCCTCCCCGTTGAGCCTTGGAATTGGAACCCGGCCTTGTTCATCAATCATAAATCTAGGATTCGATGCCCAACGCCCAAGATTGTACCTGTTGTGCCGTTCTTGGGCGTCCTTGGCCTGCTTCACGAGAGTGCTTAATTCTTCCACCTCTGAATCAGAACGCGACTCTCCCCTAGAATTGGGGCCGGGGTGCATCGTCTTGTCAATGTAATCTTCAATGTCGTTCATCCAGTGCTTCACCATCATGTTTGGAGCTTCCACCCATGACAGATTCACGAGGGAGGTGTTTATTGCTTCGAGATCTTGTTTGAGGAGCTCGAGCTTGTCCTTTTGCAGCTTCGTCAGTGGCTCCGGCAGCTGATCCTCTGGAGACACCAGAAGTGAACGGAACTTGGCAAGAAGGGAGACCATGGCGCCCGGAGAAGAACTGAAGATCTCAACCTCCGGGCCTATTTGCTTGGCTCTTGGGTTGAGCTGACTGACGCAGGAAGAAGGGCTCCCAGGCGTCTGGACGCCTGCGGCTGGCATCGCTGGCTTGCCGGCCGGCTGTCCGCCAAGGACACCGCTGCTGCCGCTCTCCATCTCTGATGGCATGAATCCAAAGCACCGAGAGGAGGCGTCATAACATCTAGTCCCCGATTGACACCGCAGTACGCAGACTCAAAAATGAGAGAGGAGACGTCAGGATTGACACCGCAGTCCGCAGACTCAAATCTGAGAGGGGAAAGGGGAACCAGGGAATATAGGAACAGGTAATTGTGGCTCGGCTAATGGACTTCCACGGTTCACCGCCAAAGTTGTATCTGATTGCGCTACTTTTTCCTACTCTATTCTAGCGTTTTAGCGTCTTGTTTCAGCCACTCTAAACCAGTCTTGCAACAGTATTTTCCTCTCACAATAAATCAGTATCAATCAGTCCAAACTAATCCAGAAAACAACCATCGAACAGACATCACGAGAGTATCTTGCTCTATTCTATTTTATCTTTTTTTTACAACATTTTCTATTCTATCTTTAAAGACGGACCAACACTAGAGCGAGAAGAATCTATTCTATCTTGTTCGATTCTATTTCTCTATTCTATCTTTAAAGAGGGTCCAACACTTACAGGGAGAAGAATAAATAATGGGCCTGCCGCAGTGCACCACGTCGAGCTTGGGGCAGCGCCAAAGTTGTAGCAGCAATGACTCACGCCGCACTGACAGTACCCGCAACAGTATCACTAGTTATTGCTCTAAACCAATTTCCTCGATAATAGATCGGTTTGGTTGTACTTCCCAGGACCAATAAGCTACTGTACTGTAGCTGCAGCTTATTTCTCCCTTCCAATTTATCCCAAGACCAATAAGCTACTGTACTGTAGCTGCAGCTTATTTCTCTCGCCCAATTTATCGTAGCGGCAGCGCAAGTTGGCTGCAACAGCAGCTTATTGCTGCATGCAGCTGAACAGATCGAATGATAGGCTATGTTTGGCTGATACATAATCGACAAGCCGGCTGAAACTGTTTTGTTGTGAGAGAAAAATACTGTATATTCTAGCTGATAAGCCGGCTGATAAGTTCAAGCGAACAGGGCCCTAACTTTTAGCATATAGCTCATAATATAGATACCCACATGGCACTCTCACATGATCCCTAGCTTTTGATCGAGAGCTAATTTTTCTCTCTCTTCTATTAAAATATAAAAAATACAAGAGTTAACCATCAGACCACCACTTCAGCTTCTTTATCAGAAAACAGCTCCTACTCTTAAGATTGACGTTGAAACCATACCAAACAAGACCCAACAACAGCTTTAAGAGTGTGCGGCCTTTATGATGTGGTTGGTGTGGTGGTGGCAAAGGTACTAAATAGCGTTTGTAACCGCAGCAATAGTGGTAGCAATCATTTTACCACTCCCGCTATGACCTAGCAACTTGGATATAGCGGCTTGAGACTTAGTGCCGCTATTTAACGTAGCAAGCCGCTATAGCGGTCATTATTTGACGTAGAATTCTGCTATAGCGTCTTAAGTCTAGAGTGTAACTAGTTAGTTCTTATTTAATATATATTTGATTGAGGATCAATTCTTTGAGTATAATTAAATATCTGTACACTATTTAAGTTATATGTTTATTGGTCTACCATTAATTTGTATTTAGTTAACTTATTGGTGTGTAAGAGAATCATTTAGTAAGATATGCATATACCTAAATTATATGAGATTATTAGACATGCTATTGAAACTTAGCGTCCGCTATCCACAATTCTCGATGACCTCAATCCGCTGTAGATTCATTATCCGCTATTTGTTAGCTTGGTGGCGACTAGCAGACCCAATATACTACGGTTTCCATTTATTCTTGAAAATGTATGAAAATAAATCTAATTTTCCATTCCAAAAGCATGTTTCCTCACAAGAATAGGAAACAATTAAGAAAGAGAAAAAGGGGCGGTTGCTCCGTCCATCCTAATAAAATGTGATTTTTTTCCAAATCACAAACATAAACTCACGCTCTCTCCGTCCAAAGAATGCAAAAGAAGTCAAATGACTTAAAGTTTGACCAAAGTTGTAAAAAATATATTAACATTTACGTACAAAACAAGTATCATTAAATTGGTTATGAAATATATTTTCGTAGTATATATAGTTGGAGACATAAATGTTAATACAATTCCCTATAAATTTGATCAAAATTAAACTAGTTTATCTACGCACAACCTATAGTTGCATTTGTTGTGAATCCACACGTACTCGTGTCTCTATAAACATGCACACACTCTTTCTCTATAAGGAAGACAAAGATTAGACCGATCTCAAGATTGATAAAGTTATCATAAACGTCTTATTGTTGACTAAAACATACCTACCACCGAAGGAATAGCGGTGCTAAATCCTAAAATAAAGTAAAAATAAAATAAAATAAAATAAAATAAAATATACAACCACCTACGTCACTCAGGTCGCAATAAAATACGATTCTAGCTTCCTATATATGCACTTAATTTTATAATATATTTTATAAATATTAATATTATATTATATAAATTTAGAAAAAAGTTAACATATTTTGACAAAGACCAAACCAAAATTGCATTAAGAGGTACTCCATGAGGCACAAAGTGGCCCTCAAATCGGCAAACCAAACCTTCGCCTAGTCATAGGGTCTTGGCGTGCTGCGCACTTCTTTTGGTGCTTAACTAAAATAAACTCATCGATCAAGGAGACAAAAGAAAAGAAGATGGCGTACTAAGGCACTTCCAATATAGAAATTACTATAGTTTCTGTGGACATTAATTGTACTATCAATTAAGCGTTTTTTTTTCTGACGTGATAATATAGTTATTGAAGAAAGAGAGCAAAAATCATAAAAACCGGGTCTAAGTTAGAAACCATGTTTATACGAGAACCAAGACACGAAGATATGTGATTGGTAGAGAATGGAGAGACAATGTATACGATTGGATAAAAATTTGTTACGTAGACACTATTCATTGGGATCATAGTTTTAATACGTAGTGTCTATGAAAATTAATAGGTATAGAAACTAACTACCTGTAGTTTCGAGCATTGGGACTGGAAAAAATAGAATACCCCTCCCATCTCAATTTCATCGCCTATTTGGCCCCGTTCGCGTGCCCTTAAATCCGGCTTGATCCGCTTATTTTTTCATCTGAAACAGTGTTTTTCTCTCACAAATTCCTCCAGCATTCCTCCAAACCATCCAAATTCCTCCAAAATTCAGACAAGCGAACAGGCCCTTTGCCGCAACACTCCCGATAAACCAGAAGTCCATTTCTCTCTCTTACCTCCAGTGGAGCTATCGGCGACCAGCCGACCATGGTCTGGTAGAGGCACCTGCGCGCCGATAGTAGCTTGGAGCTCGATTCCCTCGCACACGCCGGTACGGATGGGAGGGAGCCGGTTGGTGTAAGCGAGCTTTTTAATTTAACAGGCTCTCTACACCAATGACTTCCCTGGTGTTGCTTTTTTAAAAGGACGGTAAAAGATTTGCCACAATTTTTATTAGATGTAGAAAGGAGAAAGACAAGTGTCCGTCCAGTTTTTTTAATAGAAACTAGAGCAAAAAAAACCATACAACGGAGAAGAGTGTTCCACTCATCCTATGCAGCTTTAGAACAACAACCGGACAATTGTCAAAACTCACGCTACTGCTTGCTCCAACCTGGTCGAAACGACCCAACTAAAAACAACTAAACTAACTTGTTTCAACTACAAACTAACAAGGACAATAGAAACACGACGACCTGCTGGACAACACCAAAGAGCACAGCTTGGGACATCACCATGGCCAAACGAAAGGAGCAACTGTGGAACTGAAAAGCCTAGAGGCCGTGCAGGCCTCCTGGCAGCTCCCTCTAGCAGCGGCGAGGGGGGAAGGGAAGGGAAAGAGGGCTTGGGGCGGGGCTAGGGTGGCCGCCGCCTGAGTCGCCTTGCGGGGGCGACGTGGGGGCGAGAGGAAAATACAATACTTCCATGCTGTTGCTGGAGTTGGATATTTGTTGAAGTTGCTTGTGTACAGAATTTGTGCTTGTTTTCCTGTATGCTGAGCGGAAAGTGGATGAAGGCAGGGCCGCAGGGGTATTGTTGTCTTTTGTTAACGGTGTTAACCCTACCCCGCTAAACCAAGAGACCATCATGACAAATGAGTGCATCTCTCCCAAAGTCCCAAGTCCAGTCAAGTCTCCTCCCCTCACCAGCGAGCTCCAGCTGCAGCACAACGTCAGGTGCGTAATAGATGCCCCTTTTCCAGGCCTAACTAAACATCATGTCCCAAGTCCAGTCAAGTCTCCTCCCCTCACCACAAGGGTGAATTACTTCATAAGCTGGTTTAGATTCTCCTAATCTGATTCTGGCACAGCTCTTATCTTAGGTGTATTGTGGTAGTACTGCTCTGTTTTGGAGTCTTCTGTCGTGCTGTTCATCTGGATCGAGATCTCCAAGCTCACTATTTGGTCAATAGCTCGTCAGAGTTTCTATCTAGATTCATTTGGCAAGAAACCGATGTCCTTTTGCTCGTTTGTTTTTTTCCGCCTTGATTCAGCCCACCATTGATTGATTTTTAAAGATCTTGCCATCTTGGAGTATCTCCCACCAGGGCTTATCTCAGTTACACCCCCCCTCCACATAGCACTATTTCATCTTACTACCACATCTGACATATGTAATAGTTTTGATCTGCAAAGCTTGATTCTAATGATTTCTCCTTGTCACAATTTTTTATTTCCAGGGGTTATAGTGTGAATATTAGTGGTCATACCGATATATCACAACTGCCATAATTTCTTTGGAAGTGTTCACTACATATAACTCTTAAGGTAGTACTGACTAGTATTAATATTAGTATTCTATATCTATATGATATATTTAGTGTAAAAACTGAAAAGTGCTGCAAACAATATTAGATATGCTAACAAGTGCAATTTACCGTCAGATGAAAAGACGGATGTGGTCATCTCCCCTGCTACAAGATGCTCCTTAAGTTTTATGTGCTCTTTATGTGTTTTATTCAACCCATCATCAGTATGCGCAAAGCTGGGTGCATTTCATCTCCACACCACTAGGAACCATCAGCGCCTAACAGCCATTGTGACCGATGGAGGACCCGGGCCTATTGAGTGCATTTGTAGACAACCTCGTCTCGAGATTGTTCTCGCTGGCGGAGGAGAAATACAAGCTGTACAAGGGCTTTGAAGGAGATCTGGCTTTTCTGAAGAGTGAGCTTAAAATGATCACTAGTGCCATTGATGGGCAGCTCTTGGGGCAGGATGATCACATACTGCGTTTGTCCGTTGAAGAGTTGCGCCAAGTAGCTCATGAAATGGAGGACTGTATAGACCACATCGTGTATGATGCATCTTGGGAACAGCAACAACCATGGTACTGCAAAATGGTCAAAACTGGGAAGAAGAGAAAATCACGCTTACAGTTAAGCGAAGAGATGCAGCAACTAAGGTGCAGATTGGAGGAAGCACTCCAACGGCAACAGAGGTATTCAGTGTCCCGTCCATCCACATTCCAGCCGGCAGAATCAGCATATCCTTCCGGCTGATTTGGTTGGCATCAAGCCACCCCTTGAGGAACTTCTGGAGCAGTTGTCAGAATTTGAAGGTCAACCCAAGCAGTTGAAAGCGATCTCAATAGTTGGCTTCTGTGGATTGGGGAAGACCATCCTTGCCCGGGAGTTGTACAACAGCGTGATCGGCAAGCAATTCGGTGAAAGGGCATGGGTTTCTGCAGTGCATGGGGATCCGAGCAAGCTCTTAATAGAGATACTCAAGGAACTGCATAAACCACCACCCGATACCTCCGATGTCTACCAGCTTAGTACTGATCTAAGGAACTTCCTAAATAACAAGAGGTAAGAAATTTTCTTCCACCCCTTAGACAACAGAAGACAGTTGCCTACTTAATCAACAACAACAACATAGTCTTTCAAGGGTTTCATCTCCATACTAGTGGCTAATTTTTTACATTGGCTCGCCAAGCCTAACACAACCCTTCTTTTTTATCAGGGCTTGGGACCTGCTATGCTAGAACACCATAGGCACCCCAACATAGGCGGAGTTAGTTGACTACTTAATAATTTTATGAAAATCTTTCTCTAAAGCCAACTGTAGACAGCATGCAGAGACTTTAGTTATGAGAAAAAGATCCTAGTCAGATAGTTTTGTGGTACAAAATGTATTTGTGGATTCACAAATGATTTAGTAAAATTACTCAAATATGTAAGTAATTTTGCCTACAGCTCTTATAAAACTAAGGAGATTAATAAAAGAACTGCAAAATCCACTCTTGGAATTCTGGCCTCCATATATACTGCACATGCTAATATATATACCACAATAAGGAGCAGTTACTCTTTTTTACTGTAGAAAACATGTATTTATTTCTGAAGGATAACGATGTCAAATGAAAATAAATGATTACCTTTCCTTCACGCGTTGATCACTATGGTGTTGGAGGTTTTTGTTGATTTGTGTATTCTCATTTCACAATATTCCAGGTATTTCATTGTGTTAGACTATTGGATCATAGATCTAGCCTTTGACTGTTCTATTCGGTATAACATGTAAAACGGTAGATCCTAATACATCTAGAACAGTCTAGAGAGAGACAGGGAGAGAAGGGGAAAAGTACCGAACCTGAGACCGCAGGGGTGGAAGATCCAGTGGCCTCCATCAGGTTCGTCGATGCCGTCTGCGCACGGGCAGCGATGGTCGGGGAAGACGTCGGTGAAGTTGCCGTCGTCGGAGAGGGTCGGCGCGGCTGGTGGCTTCCCGTCACTGGCTGCGCCCCTCTTAGATCGGATTAGGGTTTGAGTGTCGGTGGGGAGCTCGGCTCAGGTCAACCTCGTGATAAGAGCCGCCGGCCCCCACCTCTTTATATAGCGCAGGGTGACAGGGGGCCTCCAGCCATAGTGGGCTGGGCGCTCTCGATCAGGACGCAGATCAAAGGCCCAACTGGGCCGTTGGGTCCAGTTAGGTTAGAGATCAAACTAACAATCTGCCCCTTGATCTCTTTCCATCTTTCACTTTTATTTACTTTTGTTCATTCCATTACAGATTAGCGCATAGAGCATGTCTCATCGTCACGGTCCATTGCGATAGATTTAACAGCTACAACACACTATTCTGTTCTGAAATAGATACTTATCTTTGGTCCTTCTTTTGTCCAGGAATCATAGGCTTTCCCTTAAACCCATGCCGGCTACATGTTCTCTGAACATGTTGGGTTGTAAGCCTTTTGTAAGCGGATCTGCGAGCATCTTTACTGTACTTATATGCTCGAGACTTATAGTCTGATCCCGGACTTTATCTTTCACAACATAATACTTTATGTCAATGTCTTTGGCAGCACCACTTGACTTATTGTTGTGAGCATATTGTACTACAGGATTATTATCGCAGTATAACTTTAGTGGTCTATAGATGTCGTCAACCACCTTTAAACCGGGTATGAACTTCTTTAGCCAGTTCACCTGCCTCGTTGCCTCATAACACGCTACAAACTCGGCATACATTGTGGACGATGTAGTGACGGTTTGCTTTGAGTTTTTCCATGAAATAGCTCCCCCTGCGAGAGTGAATACATATCCAGACGTGGATTTTCTATTATCTCCCGCATAATCAGAATCTGAATATCCAACTATATGGAGTGAATCGGATCTTCTATGTATCATCATGAGGCCTTTCGTTCCTTGCAAATAACGCAAGACTTTCTTTACCAATTTCCAGTGTTCTATTCCAGGATTGCTCTGGAATCTGTCAAGTAACCCGGTAACAAATGCCAAGTCAGGGCGCGTGCACACTTGAGCATATTGCAAGCTTCCGACAGCTGAAGCATATGGAACCACTTTCATTTGATCGATCTCATATTGGTTCCTGGGGCATTGAAAATCCCCATATCTGTCGCCTTTGACTATAGGAGCAGATGAGGGACTACATTTGTGCATACTAAATTTCTTTAAGACTTTTTCTATGTATGCCTTTTGTGATAGTCCTAATACCCCTTTAATTCTATCTCGGTGAATCTCAATCCCTAGAACGAATGAAGCTTCACCAAGATCTTTCATATCAAATTTTGAGGACGAAAACTTCTTTGTTTCCAGTAGTAGACTGATATCACTACTAGCAAGTAAGATATCATCCACATACAGGACAAGGAAGATAAACTTCCCATTCTTAAACTTTGCGTAGACACAATTGTCCTCAACATTATCTTTAAACCCAAAATTCTTTATTGTCTGATCAAACTTCAAGTACCACTATCTTGAAGTTTGTTTTAATCCATAAATAGATTTCTTTAGGCGGCATCCCATTCGTTCTTTTCCTTCTATGACAAAACCTTTCGGTTGTGCCATGTAAACATTTTCCTCCAAGTCTCCGTTGAGAAATGCCGTCTTTACATCCATCTGATGTAATTCTAAATCGTAATGTGCCACTAATGCCATTATTATTCTGAATGAATCCTTACATGAGACTAGAGAAAAGATCTCATTGTAATCAATCCCTTCTCTTTGCGTAAAGCCTTTTGCCACAAGTCTCGCTTTATATCTCTATATATTCCCTTGAGAGTCAAGTTTTGTTTTGTAGACCCATTTACAGCCTACTGTTTTGGCTCCTTTAGGAATTATCTTCAAATCCCAAACTTTATTGGCATTCATGGATTTCATTTCATCTTCCATGGCCTCAAGCCACTTTGATGAATGATCACTTCTCATGGCTTCTTCAAATGAGGTGGGATCATCCTCCATTTGAAATTCCTCAGTGTTGTACACTTCATAGTCAGCAGGAATACTGGTTTTCTAACTCTTTGAGACCTTCTAGGGGCCTCCACATTTGGCACATCTTCTATTTGAGGCTGTTGTTGCTCCCCCTCATGTGTGGCAATAGGTTCTACAGGATCCTGAAGAACAGGTTCCTCATCATCATTCATTGTTGCGACAGGTGGAATAACAACAGGTGCTGGCACCATAGTATCTTGCACTATTGGTGCAGCAACAGCTGGTAGTGAGAAAAATGGCTCATGAATCATCGGAGTGGGCGCATACACCCGCTTCTCTTCAAGATCAATTTCTCAAGCTACCATGCTCCCCCTCATCATTTCATCCTCTAGGAAGACAGCGTGTCTCGTTTCCACAAACTTTGTATGTCTGTCTGGACAGTAGAAACGAAAACCTTTTGACTTTTCTGGGTAGCCAATGAAATGGCAACTCACTGTTTTGGGATCTAGTTTCCCAATGTTTGGGTTAAATACTTTAGCCTCAGCAGGGCTCCCCCACACATGCAAGTGGTTTAGTGAGGGTACTCTTCCTGTACATAACTCATACGGTGTTTTGGGCACCGACTTACTTGGAACTCTATTGAGGATATGAATGGAGGTTTTTAAAGCCTCCATCCACAGACTCATCGGTAAGGTGGAGTAACTTATCATACTATGCACCATATCCATCAGGGTACGATTGTGCCTTTCAGCTACTCCATTCTGCTGAGGTTTGCCCGGTGTAGAATACTGGGCTACTATGCCATTCTCCTGTAAGAACCTTGTAAAAGGTCCAGGAACTTGGCCATATGGGGTATGCCGACCGTAGTACTCCCCTCCACGGTCGGACCTGACTATCTTTATCTTTAAATTGTGTTGGTTTTCAACTTCTGCCTTGAATATCTTAAATTTATCAAATGCTTCTGTTCTTTCTTTGATTGGATAAATATAGCCATATCGGGAGTGATCATCTGTGAATGTTATGAATGAATCATAACCATCCACACTCTTTACAGGAAACGGACCACAGATGTCTGTGTGAATGATCTGTAGAATTCCTGTGCTTCGTTTTGCATCTTTCTTAATTTTCTTTACATACTTTCCTTTTATGCAATATCTGCATTGTTCTAAATCTGAGAGCTCTAATGGAGGAAGAATATCATTCTTAACTAGTCTTTCTATTCTCCCCCTCGAAATATGTCCTAAACGACAGTGCCATAATTTCGACAATGCATCGTGAGCTCTCTTTCGTTTTTTGTTTACATCCGTAGACGAGGATACATTCACATTGTCGCACGCAACGTTCCCATTATCGCATACAACATTCACATCATCACATAGTGATAACAAATAAAGCTCATTCTGTAAGATAGCAATACCAACACATGCATCATTAAATGTTATCTTACATTTGCCATTTCCAAAATGGCAATCATAACCATCGTTGTCCAAACATGACACACTAATCAAATTTCTCTGTAGGGAGGGAACATAAAGAACATCTCTAAGTATAAGTTTGAAACCATCAGCAAGCTCTAATGAAACATCGCCAACGGCTTCAACTTCTGCTTGGACTCCATTTGCGACTTTAACGTGTCTTTCGCTTCTTTCCGTAGTCCTCGTCGAACGGAGTCCCTGTAAAGAATTAGCAACATGAACAGTTGCACCTAAGTCAATCCACCAAGTAGATTTCAAATACTGTACATACAGTGATTCATTAATGAACGCAATAATGTTCTCACCTTTCTTTGCCATAATCATCTTTAGGTAATCGGGACAATTTTTTCTTATAATGTCCCGTCTTTTTACAATAGAGACATTGGTCTTTCTCTACTGTGAACTGGTTTTGCTGAGGCTGATGCAGCATGGGACCCTTTCCCTTTGACTTTGAGGAGAAGTTGGTATTCTTTTTCTTATTATCTTTTAGATAATTAATAGTGCCACCATTGGCAGCTTTCATTCTTTCCTCCTCTTGCACACACATAGCCATGAGCCTCTCCATATCACATTTCTCGGGCTGAATGTTATAGTTGACAACAAAAGTGTCAAACTCTTTTGGCAAGGAAGCAAAAACCAGATGAATAAGGAACTCATCCTTGAGAGCTAGATCCATTGGTTTGAGCTTGGATGCCAAATGGCTCATCCTCAATATGTGCTCTCTAATGCCACCATTACCTGAGTATCTCTCTGTCACCAGCTGCTTTACCAGCTGGGTAGCATATATCTTTAAAGAGCCAGTGAACTGACTCTTTATTCTTTCGAGATACTCAGTGACAGTGTCACACTCTGGGATTGAGCCCACAATAGCAGGCTCAATCGTGTTCTTTATCACTGCCAAACACTTCTTGTTGGCAGTGACCCATTTCCTATGCTCAAGGTCATAGGACATTCTTTGGGATGCAAAATCTCTCTCTCTAGTTGCCCAGGCAGCATCAGCCTCGTTTGTCTCCCTCACCGGTGCCACAGGCTCTGTGGGACACGGTGTGGTGACTACCTAGTCCACCTCAGCGAGGATGAAAGCTAGGTCTATCTTTTTCTTCCACTCAATATAGTTATCACCTTTTAGAGTGGGGATCTCTTATCAAGTTGTATCCTCCTGAAAACACAATTCAAATGTTGTGAGAACATAAATAATAACAATAACAAATGCATGTCTTATTTCCAACGTTGGTTAAAATTAAAACATACAATTGTTCTCTACACTAATTCTACATCACCGTTGGGCAGAAATAGAATTAATGCAAGACAAAACATTATAATATTGCCATTAATCAACGTTGGTCAGAATAATAACAATATTATAATCAATTAAAACATATCCATTTTCAAAATTAAATTCTCCCATTGGTTCGAATTTAATAATGAAAATTACATCTTTAAATACGCAGCGGAAAATCATTCAATTTGATGAATTTTACCCACAGGAAAAATTCTCTTTTCTATTTTCATTAAGCCATTAATCAATTTCCAGAAATAAAACTTTTACTGAAAAAGAAAAGCAAAACTGATTCACTTCTACACTGTTCATTCGGCCCAGCAACCAAAACGGCTCGGCCCGCTTCCTTCGCGCGACACCCGGCCGCACCAGGCCGCAACCTGGGCCTGGGCCGGCAAAGCTGCTCGACCGCGCGAGCCCGCCTGGGCCGCATCGCCGGCCCGAGCATCTGGCGCCATTGGAGCCGATCGGACGGCTGCGCGGCGTCTTCGGGCGAACAAAAACCCGCCCCCGGCTGCGGTCCGCCAACCCTAGCGGCCATTCTCTTCATTCGCTCTCTCTCTCTTTGCCTCACTGCTCTCTCTTCTTTCCTCAGTCAGTCACCAAGCGAGGGAGCAATCCACGGCGAGAGCAAGCAGCGAGCCTCGGCGCCGTCGCCGGCCCCCTCGCCGGCGTGCGCGCTCTCCAGCGGGTGAGCGCGCCGCCGTCGAGCGGCCTGGCCGCGGCGCCCCTGTGGCCGGATCCCGGCGAGCAGTGCCCCCGGCCGGCCTTTCTTTTCCCCGTGTGCCGGCGTGACAGCAGTGCCGCGCGACGGCGAGGTAGGCCACCCCCTTCCCCTTCTCCCCCTTTCGTTTTGATTCGTTTTGTTCGGATTTCATCCGATTTCCTGATTAGGGTTAGGGATAGGGTTAGGGATGGCACATTTTATCTTTTCCCCGAATTGATTTCTTCACGGGTTTGATGTTCGGTTTCCAGTTGAAACCATGTAATCATCTCTGTCCAAAAACCCGATCTAGGGTTTGGTTGTATCTGTTCTTCACTTTTCCCGAACCCGATCTAGGGTTAGGGTTAGAGTTTCATTCATCAGAATCAAAAACTTTTCTCAGATCCGAAAAGATCGAAGTTAGGGTTCAACCGAACTCTTTGTCGGCTGAAGCCCCTTTCTACTTTCTAAAACCGCACTGGATTTCTTTTCTTTAAGCCAGATCTATACCTAAACCGTGGCTCTGGTACCAATGTTAGACTATTGGATCATAGATCTAGCCTTTGACTGTTCTATTCGGTATAACATGTAAAACGGTAGATCCTAATACATCTAGAACAGTCTAGAGAGAGACAGGGAGAGAAGGGGAAAAGTACCGAACCTGAGACCGCAGGGGTGGAAGATCCAGTGGCCTCCATCAGGTTCGTCGATGCCGTCTGCGCACGGGCAGCGATGGTCGGGGAAGACGTCGGTGCAGTTGCCGTCGTCGGAGCGGGGCGGCGCGGCTGGTGTCTTCCCGTCACTGGCTACGCCCCTCTTAGATCGGATTAGGGTTTGAGTGTCGGTGGGGAGCTCGGCTCAGGTCAACCTCGTGATAAGAGCCGCCGGCCCCCACCTCTTTATATAGCGCAGGGTGACAGGGGCCCTCCAGACATGGTGGGCTGGGCGCCCCCGATCAGGACGCAGATCAAAGGCCCAACTGGGCCGTTGGGTCCAGTTAGGTTAGAGATCAAACTAACACATTGTAATTGATGACATGCGGTCAGATCAATGGAGTACTATAAAGTCTGCCTTTCCTCGAGATGTTAGCAGCAGAATATTGGTGACAACGAAAATCAAGTCAGTGGCTAATACTTGCAGCTCTACCAACGGCTATATTCACAAAATGAGAAGACTTGATGAGAAACATTCAAAGCAGTTATTCCTGAAGGAAGCTTGTCCGGTGGAATATTCAGAGTACATGGGGCCTGATTTGGCAGCAATTTTGAAGAAATGCGATGGTCAACCACTCGCTCTGACTACCGTTGGCCAATTCATGGGAAAAAAGAGTTGGCCAACAGGACATGACTGTGAAGATGTGTGCAACCAGGTACGGTTTTACCATCTACAGAGTGGTGACGATACTTTGGACAGAATGCATCAGGTGTTGATCCATGACTACACCAGTCTTCCTAGCCATGCTCTCAAAGCTTGCTTTCTGTATTTTGCTATGTTTCCAAGTGATTATCCAGTAAGGGCGAAAAGGCTAAAGAGGCAATGGTTAGCTGAGGGATTTGTGCGGCCAACAAATTTATGCACTGACCTTGCAGCTGAAAATTTCGAGAAGCTCTTGGACCAGAACATCATCGAACCCATTGATGTGAGCAACAACACAATTGTGAAAACATGCAAAACTTATGGCATGATGCATGAGTACATTACGCTCAAGTCTCTCTATGAAAACTTCATCACTTTGTTCGATGGAGGAGAGCTCCAACCTAAAAATGCCCGTCTTGTTTCTCTCCGTCACAACACTATTACAGATGGTGCCACTTTGAACATCGATCTCTCGCTTGTCAGATCTCTTATAGTATTTGGGGAGGCAGGTAAAACTATGTTGAATTTCAACAAGTACCAACTGCTAAGGGTCTTGGACCATGAAGACTGTACAGACTTGCAAAATGATAATCTCACAGAAATATGCAACCTATTGCTTCTTAAATATCTGAGCCTAGGAGGAAATGTTACCATCCTTCCCAAAGAGATAAAACAATTGAAACTTTTGGAGACACTCAACCTAAGGAGAACGAATGTAAAGATACTTCCAACTGAAGTTATTCAGCTGCCCCATATAATTCATCTCTTTGGAAAATTCAAACTTCCAGATAAAGCCATAAATGATGAACTGCAGAAATTTCTTACTTCAGCAAAATGTAAAGTGCAGACACTAGCAGAATTTCTTGTAGATGAAAGTGACGGATTTGCAGAACTTATGGGTCATATGAAAAAATTGCAGAAGGTAAAGATCTGGTGTGAGTCATCTGCAACTAGTAGTAAATTGACCACTCTTCAGAAGGCCATACAGGAGTTCATTCATGACGACAAGGATGCAAGCAATGATCCTCGTTCTTTGTCACTCTATTTGGACGGATACTCTCAAGACTTTCTGAAAGAATTGAAAGCTCCCTGCTATCTCAGGTCGCTGAAATTACAGGGCAGGTTACTGGAACTCCCTGGGTTTGTCACAGCACTGCGCCGACTCAGGGAGTTATGCCTTCAGTCAACTAAACTTACAGCTGATCTTCTCTTAGCTTTGACAAATTTGAAGCACCTGCAGTACCTGAAGCTGATTGCTGATGAACTTGAAGAAATCACCATTAAGAACAAGGCATTGCCAAGGCTGCTCTGCCTATGTTTTGTGCTGCAGCGTCCAACATTCTCAAAGATTGAAGAAGGCGCCTTGCCATTTCTTGAATCTCTTCAGCTGCTCTGTAAAGATATGGATGGCCTCTCTGGAATCCAGATTAAAGGTTTCACACGACTGAGGGAAGTAACTCTTGATATTAGAGCCACCAATGGTACTAAAGTGAACTGGGTGAGGGTGACTAAGGAACATCCGAACAAACCAAAAGTTCTTCTGCTCAAAAGGGCTGTACCAACTGAAGTTTGTCTTCGAGGAGCTTCTGCTTCATTTGGGACAACTGAGAATGGAATTGTAAATTGCTCTGTTCTGTCAGAGGGACAAGTACAGGAAACTGACACCCAAATGCCACATGACGAACAAAATTCTGTTTTCAGTAATATAGGACATCCAGTGGCTTGTGCGGCTGGTTCGTCCATTGCTGGCAATGGCACAATGGCTTCCTAATTCTTCATTTCTTACATGAATGACGACGATCGGATCCTCGAGGGAGCATCATGGTCAGCTTTGTGTCACTTTTCTTTTGCATATCATGTCCAACCATTTTTTCACCTATAAACACCCAATATACCATGGACTTGTTTAGATCCATTAGAAGTAATAGTTACTCTATATGTTCCAAATTACAAGTCATTCTTGTTTTATCCTAAGTCAAACCAATATTTATGACTTAGTATCATTTAGATGCACCATGAAATATATTTTCATAGTATACTTGTTTGCACCAGCAGAGAAATGACATTTGATCCAGCTCGAAATTTGGCTTTAGTCCCGGTATTTTTCGCGTCCGGGACTAGAGAGACTTTTAGTCCCGGTTTGTAGCTCCAACCGGGACTAAAGGTCCCTGCCCAACGACTACTGCGCAGGCTTTTGCTGCAGGGGACCTTTAGTCCCGGTTGGAGCTACCAACCGGGACTAAAAGCACCAACCGGAACTAAAAGTGAACTTTTACTCCCGGTTGGTCTCTCCAACCGGGAGTAAAAGTCTACTCCCGGCTGGAGGCTCCGTCCGGGACTGGAAATGGACCTTTAGTCCCGGTTTCTGTTTTCAACTGGTATTAAAGGTCCCCTCCTATATAGCCCTTGTTTCTCCCCGAGCCCGAGCCACTTCGAGCTCAGTGTTCTTGCTTCATCGCTGGCCTCTCTTCTTCCTCATCACCGGTGTATCACAAGATTTATTCCATTCCTCCGTCGATTCTTCGGTTCTAAAGGTTACTAACTTTATACTCTCATGTTTCATCAGTAGCTTATCTCATTTTGTGGACTAGATATATGTGGTTTTTTATGGTGAATTTTTTTATTTGTAAGTCATTTAAGCTCAAAATCACTTTAAAGTTTACATATTTGGATAAAGGAAGATTAAAGTAGTTATTCAAAACTAGTATTCAACTTTCATTTCTAGCATGCATAACACACTTCAAGGTTTAGAGATATAGAGAATTTTAGAGTTTTTTTAATTTTATTTGTTTATAAAATGAGAAATTTATATTATATTAAAATAAGTATAGAGAGTAGATGGCAACTGCTTCCGGGTCCTCGGCTTCTCATCGGGTTCCAAAGCGACTGAGGCCGGACCTTCCTCTCATTGCATGCGGCAAGTGTGAGGAGAAGATTGTGATAGAGTACCGGGTGAGGAAGGAGTGTCCCAACAAGGGTCGTATCTTCTACAAGTGTCCGGATCGCAATGTGAGTTATTTTATCGCATTTGATTATTATGGTTAATTTATACTTATTTTCATGATGATTGTAATTAAAGTTCTAATTTTTTGTTTTAATTTCAGTGGGATGACACTGGATGTTTAGGCTGGTACTGGGAGGAAGAGTATGTTGAACACGTGCAAAACTCTCTTGCACAGGCGGCTACGGCGGCTGATGAGGCAGTGATCTTGCGGAAGAAGTTCATAGATGTTGAACAAACGCATGATCTGTCTGTTTTAGTTGTGATTGGTCGTGAAATCCTTATGCTGCTGAAGTGCATTTTATCTTTAGTTTTTTAGTGGTAGTTGGGATTGTCTACATTGTAGCGAGACTTTCATAAATTAATATCTTGTGTGGTGGCATGTATGTCGTATAATTAACTAATTATGTTCTAGGTTTTAATATGGTATGTATGTCATGTAATACAGATGAGCCGGCATTGGATGTACAATGCTGATCGCCGCTCCCAAGAGTTCACTGAGGGCGTGCATTCTTTCTTACGTGTGGCCGAGACAAATAAACGCGATGGTTTCATGTGCTGCCCATGTGTCATATGTAAGAATTTGAAGGAATATGCTAGCTGAAGGAGTCTTCATTCACACTTGTTGAAGTCGGGTTTCATGCCAAACTATATTTGTTGGACGAAGCACGGAGAAACCAGGGTTGTAATGGAAGAAGGTGAAGAAGAACAATGGGACGATGATGACATTATTGCTGAATATGATGCCTTCAATGATACTACAATGGGAGAAGCTGAAGAAGAGGTAGTGGTAGAAGATGAGCCCGCTGATGATCTTGGTCAGGCCATTCATGACGCACAAAGAGAATGCGAAAGTAAAAAGGAGAAGATCAAGTTCGAGCGCATGCTAGAGGATCACAAGAAATTACTATACCCAACTTGTGATGCGGGACAGAAAAAGTTGGGTACCACACTGGAATTGCTGCAATGGAAGACAAAGAATGGTATATCTGACAAGGGATTTGGGGAGTTACTGAAAATCCAAAAGAAGATGCTTCCGAAGGATAACGAATTGCCCGTCACTACGTACGAAGCAAAACAGGTAGTCTGCCCTTTGGGATTAGAAATCCACAAGATACATGCATGTCCTAATGACTGCATCCTCTACCGTGGCGAGGAGTACGAGAAGTTAGATGCATGCTCGGTATGTCATGCATCGCGGTATAAGATCAGGCGAGATGACCCTGGTGATGTTGAGGGCGAACGTCCCACGAAGAAAATCCCTGCCAAGATTATGTGGTATGCTCCTATAATACCACGCTTGAAACGTCTGTTCATAAACAAAGACCATGCAAAGTTATTGCGATGGCACAAAGAAGACCGTAAGGTAGACAATATATTGAGGCACCCTGCTGATGGTTCCAGTAGAGAGCAATCGATAGAGAATTCCTGGAGTTTGCAAATGACGCAAGAAACTTAAGGTTTGCTTTAAGTACGGATGGTATGAATCCTTTCGGGGAGCAGAGCAGTAGTCATAGCACTTGGCCTGTTACTCTATGTATCTACAACCTACCTCCCTGGTTATGCATGAAGCGTAAGTTTATTATGATGCCAGTGGTCATCCAAGGCCCAAGGCAACCTGGCAACGACATCGATGTGTACCTGAGGCCACTAGTTGAAGAACTTCTACTTTTGTGGAACAAACCAGGTGTACGTGTGTGGGATGAGCACAAACAGGAGCACTTTGACCTGCGAGCATTGTTGTTCGTAACAATCAATGATTGGCCTGCTCTAAGTAATCTTCCAGGACAATCAAATAAGGGATATAATGCATGCACGCACTGTTTCGATGACATTAAAGGTATATTCTTGAAAAAATGTCGAAAGGTCGTGTACCTTGGCCATCGTCGATTTCTTCCTGCGAATCACCCCCTAAGAAAGAAAGGCAAGCATTTTAAATGTAAGGCAGACCACCAGTCCAAGCCGGGCAACCGAACTGATGAGGATGTACTCAATATGGTCAATGATGTGAAAGTAGTATTTGGAAAGGCACATGGCAGCGAACCTGTTCCGAACGACGCCGACGGTCACGCACCCATGTGGAAGAAGTCCATATTTTGGGAGCTACCATATTGGCAAGTCCTAGAGGTCCGTAGCGCGATCGACGTGATGCACCTGACGAAGAATCTTTGTGTGAACCTGCTAGGCTTCATGGGTGTGTATGGGAAGCCTAAGGACACACTTGAAGCATGACAGAACCTGCGATGTTTGAAAGAACAAGACAACCTACATCCAGAGAAGACAGATGATGGACGCCATTACTTAAGTCCTGCCAGCTACACTCTTAGCAAAGAAGAGAAGGAAAGCATGTTTGAATGCCTAGCAAGCATCAAGGTACCATCTGGATTCTCCTCGAATATAAAGGGTATAATAAATGTGCCTGAGAAGAAATTTCTAAACTTAAAGTCCCATGACTGCCACGTGCCCATGACGCAATTGCTTCCAGTTGCATTAAGAGGAATTCTACCTCCAAATGTACGTCTAGCCACCGTGAAGCTATGTGCATTCCTCAATGCAATTTCTCAGAAGGCAATCGATCCAATGGATCTAGCTAAACTACAGAATGATGTGGTTCAATGTCTTGTGAGCTTTGAGTTGGTGTTCCCTCCTTCCTTCTTTAATATCATGACACACCTCCTAGTTCACCTGGTCAAAGAGATTAGCATTCTCGGTCCTGTGTTCCTGCACAACATGTTCCCCTTTGAGAGGTTCATGGGAGTCCTAAAGAAATATGTTCGCAACCGTGCTCGGCCAGAAGGAAGCATCGCCAAGGGCTATGGAACAGAGGAGGTCATTGAGTTTTGTGTTGACTTTATTCCCGACCTTGACCCGATTGGTGTTCCTGAATCGCGACACGAGGGGAGACTAAGTGGAAAGGGGACACTAGGGAAGAAAACATATATTGGTATGCAGGACAATTATTTTAATAAAGCACACTACACAGTTCTGCAAAACTCCTCCTTGGTGGATCCGTATATCGAGACACATAAAGAGTTGCTCCGATCTGAGTTTCTAGGGAAGTCTGAAGCTTGGATTACGCGTCAGCACATGGAAACTTTCAAATGATCGGTTGCAAAAAGAATGTTAGGGTGATGAGAGTATTGATGAGCAACTGTATTTGTTGGCTAGACAGCCATCGTGACATATCCTCACATACAAAGGGTACGAGATAAATGGGAATACATTTTACACAGTAGCCCAAGATAAAAGGAGCACCAACCAAAACAGTAGTGTCCGCATAGATACCACCGACCCTAATGGAAATAAGCAAACATATTATGGCCGTATAGAGGAGATATGGGAACTAAACTATGCACCTACTTTTAAGGTACCTTTGTTCAAGTGCCAATGGGTAAAGGCGACTGGAGGCGGGGTAGCAGCCGACAACCAGTATGGAATTACAACCGTGGACCTCAACAATATTGGGTATAAAGACGAACCATTCGTCCTTGCCAAGGATATGAATCAGGTGTTCTATGTCAAGGACATGTCTACAAAACTGAAGAGAGGGAAAAACAACAACGACCCAATCAATGAGCCAAAGTGCCACATAGTTCTTTCAGGGAAAAGAAACATCGTCGGAATTGAAGACAAGTCAGACATATCAGAAGATTATGAAAAGGATGACCGAATTCCACCCTTCACAGTGAACAAATACCCAAGCATCTAGCTAAATGATGAGGACACTCCATGGTTACGGCGCGATCATAACCAAGGGATATACGTTAAGA